AAAAAAAAAAAGAGGCTCTGGCAGACTTGACGCTTCAGAAGGTGGAGAAGATTTCTGTTGGATGTTGTTTCAGCTGAGTGCACGATCTCTCTCCTTCTTTCTCCGTCTCCCCTGCAACACAAACACACACATCGCTCGCTTTTTAGCTCACACACGCTGCTGCATGTGTCCGTCCAAATGCTTTGCAAATTTCCCTCAGGCTTTAAAAACCCTTGAAAGATTGTGGAGGAAATCAAATAAAGGGATGTGCTGCATCAAGTTGCTATAATCAGGAGAAAAAAAAGCGACAACAAATGAATAGAAAGAATTCAGCTAAAAAAAATTGGGCTTTTAACAGCATGGTCTATACATTTAATCCTGTAACCCTGACGAAGGCTATCGAAGCCAGAACACACTCATTTCAACATTAAAGCTCAGGCAAATTGGAGTCCACAAGTAGCTGAATTCTTTTCATATTTGAAATTATAAAAGGCCTTGAAAGTTTTTGGGAAATGAATGGGTAGAATTTAGAGTAGTCGATGATTTTTATTAACAAAAAACACTCCGATGGATATTCGTGTTGATTTTCAGTTGATTTGAGCCCTTAATGAACTCAAGGACCTTTTTTCTGTGACTTTCAAGGCCTTTCAACGAGAGTAAAGGAGTGTATATGTCAGGCTACCTTGAGCTTTTTTCCCTATCTGACCCCGCCCATGCTGCACCACCACATTAAGTGACTTTGCTTTGCTCATTGCCCTTGGTTTACATCACGCTGAATTAGAGGATACACACTGAATGATTCCAAAGTCAATCCTCCTCCATCTCTGTTTTGGAGAAGGAGCAGCGAGTTCAAAGCGCTCAGTTCAAAGCATCTGTCCTCATTTGAATAACGTAGAGTAATCGCTATTACCTTATTTAAATAGTGCAAGTTATCATTTGGCCTTCATTTGCATTGCTGGGGTAATCACTGCGTCTCTGCATTAACCTCATTATAGAAGAGATGAAAGCCCTGATGGAGCCTGACACACTCTTTTATATATGTTATCTTTATTAATGATGGAATTAGAAAGATTCATGTTTCTTTAAATGGAGGACATATCGGAGTTTGATGGAGTGTCAAACTATGTGGCGAGAGGAGGGCGCTGTGATTCGCAAGGCTTGTTTTATTTTTGTGTTTTCCTGCTCTCTGCGTTCTCCATCCTCGCTTCCTCTTTTCATTTCTACCTCCATCCATTTCTCTGTACGCGTCCCTGCACTGAGTTGAGCTGAACCACAGCCTGGCACTTAAAAGGATGCCGAAAACAGGCCAATTCATCATGACAGCGCAAAGACACATCCATCTTAACAAAGTCATAATATCTTCACTTCTACTTCACTACTTGCAATGCAGTGCAGCTTTTTGTTTTCACGACATGTGTTAAATCAACTGATATTTGTCTCGAAACGACCTTATTGCCAGATGTAGTCGCTCGCTTCACAATTCTTGCCTGATTGCATGTCACTGAAGACTGGCAGGGAGAAATCCACTCGCTGCTTTGACAGATTTTGTAACAATTTGGAGATTAAATGTCAAATCAGTTGGAAGTTTTACAGTCCCATAATGCTGAATTACTGCACTACAGAAACAGCATAAAAAATAGTGGTTCAAGAACCCAGCAAACTGTGTAACAAGGTTGTAAAAGGTTTTAATGCTTTCATTTTATGCCTTTTTAGCCTGATTCTTTTACACCTAAAATCTCAGGGATTGGCAAAATGTTGTCCTAAAAACATATAGATGCTCTGCCTGAACAGCAATCTTCTACATCATTTTGAACATGGTTACTTTAAAAAACAACAACTTTATTTTGAATATTTTAAGTTCATAGTTCCTAATTAAATGTTGACTTTTAATATTTGTATTGAATTTGATACATAAATGTTCATTTTCATCCATTTAAATATCCGATTTAATGGTGGCAACAACAAACTGATGGCGTTTACTGCTAGGTTGAATTACATACAGTTAGCTCAGGCTAGCTGTGGCTATGGTGTGTTAGCTGTCCCCTCAGAACAAAGGGAGCACTGAAGTGCAACAGCAGGTTCCAGAAAATACCAAGCTGCACAGAAGCTAGAATACTTTCTCACTATTTCATCTGTGCAAAGACAAATAACTAAAATCCATTCTCCTGTCAACATTATCTTGTGTAGTGATACTATAAATTACCACTTCACTCTGCATTCACCACTTCACCCCTGTCGGAAGGGCCTGCACTATAAAAATGGGACTTTATTATTATGTTAGTTACAGGCCAAGGTCAAGTACTTGTCGACATTGTCGTTCCTTGATCACCAGTGCTGGTCAATGATTAGATTACCGAATGGAAGGTTACTGAAGGCCGCATTAAATGACATGTGAAGGTGGATATTTCTGCAGCAGAATCAAGCGACGTAGATTGACCCGAGCATCAGTGAGGCAGTTTCATCGCAGGCATTTGCTTCTGCAGACCTCAAAGACTAGACACTGCAGTGACTCTAGCTCCTGAATCAGATTGGGGGGGGGTTGGACTGTGGATTAGCAAAAAAAGGCACACTGATGGTTGAAGACATGGCTGAATCTGGCTCAGAGCCTTTGCCACGTGCCACTTTTACCTCAGCTATATATTATCTATTAATGCTGAAGACCTAATGTTGAAATAATAGAGATTTCATGTGCACTGCCAAACTCAGCATTTTGCTCCTGGCTACGGATCAAACATGTAGCTTGAGAATACAATCCTAAGAACGACCCAACTTTAAAAGCCCTTTAAAAATGTTTGATTTACTCAGCTTTCATGAGACCGTTCAAGAGTTCAATAATCATATTATTTATTTAGGATTATTTTGTATTCATACTGTGTTGGAATAATGGAGAACAGAATAAGCAAAGTGTGCCTGCCAGTTATTTCGATGAAATGACAAACTACATCCTCTTTTGGTTCCTTAAAAATTGAAACCTTTGATTTTATATTTAAAAAAAACACACATAACAACAATATAATGGTGTATACAAACCAGACTGCAATTGAAGGATTGTTGTGAAACCTGTATTTGGCCTCATTTTCTCTTATTATGTCCGGTTTTCCCAGCTTGTAATTTTCTCCTTGAAATACTGCCCTTTTGTAGTGCTGCTTCCACTTAATATATTCTCAATATTAAAGAAGCCTCCCAGCTAATACAAAAGTTTCCTCCGCGCAGCTCTTTGTCTGAGGCGTTCCCTGCTTGGTACACTGGGAGGGTGACAGGCTTGCCAGCCCCTGCTAGACTCCCCTCGGCTAAAATGTTGTAAATTAACACAATTAGCAGATCGCCATTCTGCTAATTAGCCACTGGCGTCTGCCGAGAGATGGCTAGAGAGGAGAATCAGAGAGGAAATAGGAGTCTGGGGATTCCCCCCTCCCTCCCTGTGTTGTTACCAAACAAACACTGGGCCTCGGAAAAGAGAGCAAGGGAGTGTGAACGTGTGTGTGTTTGTGTCTGCGTGCTTCTACTTTTTTTTTTTTTTTTTTTTTGTTGTTGTATGTCTGTGTTTGCAGTAGCATAAATGGATGGGAGGAAGAGAAGATTTGCTCCTTCATGAATGGGTTTTATTGTGCCTGCCTGCTTTACTCACAAAAGCACAAAAACACACACATAAACCAATTCTGAGGCAGGCATTGCTCACCAGACCCCCAACTGTGGATCTCTACATGCAACCACTGCCAGTCAATAAGTCGGAGGAAGCAGCCTAAATGACACCGATATTATCCTTTATTTGTGTGCACTAAGTCAAATCAAACGGGGGGTTCAATCTGCCGTGCGGCTGCTGTGATTACGCCCCGTCCAGCCTTTGATAGCGCCACGGCTTTGATAGTGAGACAACGATGGAGTCGCTGTGTGACTGTCAGTGTTTGCAGATGGCATTGGCTGGGATTAAAGGAAACAGTGGCTCTCCAGCCTCCTGAGGCAATAAAGGGGAGAGCCAGGTGAGTGTGTCTGAGATGAGATGGAGCAAGGAGGGAGGGAGGGGAGGAGGCGCAGCGAGCACAGAGGGAGTAAATAAGAGGAGGGGTGGCCGCAAAGAAAGAGCATAAGGGAATGAAAAGGAGAGATATATATCGAAATAGATGGAGTCAGAATAAAAGGAGGTGAGGAGAAATAAAGAAGGATCTAGCAGGAGGGGAGGTGGAAAATGGACGACAGAAAAGCAAAGAGGAGAGACTGAGAGGAAAGACAAGGCAGCAGGGAGGCATAAAGGAGAAAGGCAGACAGAAAGGTAAAGAGAACGGTAGAGAGAGAGGTCAAGGTGGAGCTGTGCAGACAGGAACTAAGCTTGAGACACAATGTGTTGTAATTCATTGCTCGCTACAGCTACTGTGTGCGTGCCTGTGTTTGTCCGTCTGGGTCAGTGGATGGGAGCTAGTGTGTGCGCGTGTGCACGTCAGCACGCCTGAGTGCAGGCATAGATAGTTTTTTTTTTTTTAAATGCCTGTGTGTCTGAGCACGGGTTTGTGTGTGTGTGTGTGTGTGTGTGTGTGTGTGTGTGTGTGTGTGTGTGTGTGTGTGTGTTCGATGAAAGCACCATGAGCAGAGGGGGGTGGATGCGTATGGGTGTGTGTGTTGCTTTGTGGCACTCGGCGAGGCGCATTTTCAAACCCATCTCCAGCCACCTCAGATGAGCCGGGGATTATAGAGTGACCCTCAATGCCTCTGTCTTATTGGTCTGGCCAGGGTGCATTAGGCTGCCGTAACCAGCCCTCTCACCATCCCTCTGCAGTGCACTATACCTGCAGACACTCGCTCTGTCCCTTTTTTATATGATCTGTAGAAATTAACAATTCATGTGTATAGGGAAGAAAAATAAATAAAAATAAAGACACACAAACCTCCAGATGAATATCACCTTTTTAATTGACCACCTTCCATCCCAGGCAATTTGAAGGTGTTGTCATTTTAATTATTGCTGAAAAGCGATTTTAGCATGTCAGTGTGTTCACGTGTGTTGTCTGTGTCTCTATTTCTCTCAGGCTTAAAGATGCAGTGGACCCCCGAGCACAGCCAGTGGGCCGAACAGCATTTCGACATCTCATCCACTACGCGCTCGCCAGCCCACAAGGCTGAGGCCTACAGGGCGGTACCTGGCCACTTGCAGCGCTCGGCCACCTACCAGTATGCCTGGGCTAATGATGACATCTCAGCCCTCACCGCCTCCAACCTGCTCAAGAAGTACGCCGAGAAGTACTCCGGCATTCTGGAGATGCCGGGCTCCTATTCAGAGGCCCCCGGGGTGATGAATGGCCGGAAAGGTGAATCGGAGCCCTGGCAGGATGGCGTCTATCCCATGAGCTGCATCCCAGAGGGGGTTTCTGTCAGAAAGGGAGGGGTTGCGGCAGCTTCAGAGGTGGTGTCTGGCATGTGCAGCTCCCCGGGTCTGGCCTCCAGCACCCTGAGTGAGCCCAGCTACTCCAGCAGCAGCTGTGGGAGCCACACTGCCACCGCCCTCCACTCCTCCTCCATGCCCTCTCAGGAATACGGCCCTGCATACAGCAGCTCCTACCTGCACAGTAGTTACAGCTCCCAGTCTGCCCCCGCCCCAGCACTTCCCTCCCCGCTGCACAGCTCTGGGCTCCTGCAGCCGCCCCCACCACCCTCCCATCCCACTTTAGTCCCAGCTTACAACGGAGGCTCCCCCAACTTGTCTAGTTATAATTACCCCCCAGCAGGCTACCCAGCTCAGAGCTCAGTCGGGCCAGGATACAGCCCTGGGGGAGCACCCCCTCCTTCCTCATACCTCCCCTCAGGCATTGCTGCACCTACACCCCTTCCCCCCTCTTCTACTTTACCTGGATACCCATACCAGAGCCACAACCTGACCCCAATTGCCCCCACCCCTCTCAACAGTAGCTCCTCCAACTCACTGAAGAGAAAAGCCTTCTACATGACGGGCCAAGGAGAGATAGACTCTGCTTATGCTAACTTTGGCTACGGCCAGGCTCGGAGCTCGGCCGACAGCCCCATGTACAGGATAGCAGACAGCAGCAGTGCAAACGGAGGCTCCAACAGCGCCGGCGGTGGCGGATTTGACAGAAGTGCTGAAAAGTCGTCTTTACCTTTTAACCCTCAGAAGCAGTCCACGATGTCCTCGGAGCAGCAGAGAAAGTACAGCAGCCAGGCAACAGGTGGGCCACTGACTCCACCGGCCTACGTCACCTCCACCCTGGGGGGTTCCCGCTCGGCAGATTCCCTCGTCAGCTTCACCTCCCCATCCCTCAGTGAGCAAGGTGCCGATGATCACCGTCTCCACCTCTCCCACTCAGCGCCAGGGCCTACCTCCTCCTCATCCACTTCCTCCACCCGGCCTGCTGAAGAGCAGCTAAAAACTAGTGACCCTCACCTCCTAGACATGGTTACCTCTGAAATCGTTCAACAGGGGCCCCCGGTGGACTGGAGTGACATTGCAGGACTAGAACTGGCCAAAGCAACCCTGAAGGAGGAGGTCCTGTGGCCCATTCTGCGTCCGGACATGTTCAGCAGTTTGGGACCGGCCCCACGTTGCGTGTTGCTGTTTGGCCCCAGGGGCAGTGGCAGGACGTTGCTGGGTCGCTGTCTCGCCAGCCAGCTCGGTGCCCCATTCCTCCAGCTCAGCGGCTCCACGCTGGCCACAAAGTGGTTGGCAGAGGGGGAAAAAATTATCCGAGCATCCTTCCTGGTGGCACGCTGCCGGCAGCCCTCAGTACTGTTCATTAGTGAGGTGGACATGCTGCTGTCAGCCCACCTCAGCGAAGAGAGTCCCATCAACCGACTGAAGGGGGAGCTACTTGCCCAGCTGGACTCACTTCTCATGGGCTCGGGCGAGGACGGAGGCAACCAAGTGTTAGTGGTTTGCTCCACAAGCAGACCCCAGGACATGGACGAAGGGCTGCGCAGGTACTTTGCTCGGAGGGTCCTCGTGCCCCTGCCGGATAGCACAGCCCGACACCAGATCATGAACCAGCTCCTGGCTCAGTCTCAGCACAAGTACTGCTTGAGCGAGGAGGAGCTGGCGCTGCTGGTCCAGCGTACTGAGGGTTTCTCTGGACTGGACCTGGCCAGATCCTGCCAGGAGGCTCTCATCAGTCTGTTACATGTCTCTGCACAGGGCATGGACATGACGGGTATGATGGCCAGGGGACAGGTCAGGCCCCTCACCTACCAGGACTTTGAGAGTGTCTTTTGTAAATTCCAAGCCAGTATATCGCAGAAAGAGATTGACACGTACACTGAGTGGAACAAAATGTTCGGCTGCAGCCAGTGAAAAGATAGATTCCGCCCTTGAGAAAAAGAGGCATCCACAATTCCTCCCCTCAGGGCAGAAGCATTGTGCTGGAGGGAACGGCAGACACAGAAGGCCAACACAAGCCCACCGAGTTCTCACAAGCAGGGTTTAGACGCACCGAGAGACCTGGTTTGATGAGACAGCTGGCAGTTTTGCAGTTAATGAGCAAGAGATTTAATTTGAATGCTTGACACTCCAGAAAAAGCCAGGCATTGTTTACACATTGCAAGCAAGTTGGCTTCGGAAGAGACGCCCCAGTGTCTGTGTATATATCTTTATGTTCTTGTTCTTGACGTTTAGTTGGCTATCCAAGTGCCTGAAGTGGTGCTTTCTGATTTCTTTTTATTTGTTTATTTGCCTCACAATCTACATTCATGGCATGAGCTGATGATTATCAAGAGCTTTAAAACTTCAGTGGGTGAGTCTGAAAAACAGAGATTGACAGTTGCCATTGGTGGTGGTCAATCATTCTTTATTGTCTTGCTAAGAGCAGTTATCCATCAGGGCGGCAGTAGTCTGGGCCCTGACTCACACTCATCTCTTCTGATCCTGTGTCTGCAAAACAAACAAACGTAACAAACAAAACTCAGGAAAGCGTTTGTGAATTGTACAGTACCTCAAGATATTTTGACGAAAAAGCACTAAGATCTGACAGGAGAATCCAAGGTAGTTTAGTGAAGCAGTGTTAGGTGTACCTCAGCTGGCTAGGATAAATAGCAAAGAGGTGACAATGAATGTACTAGATGTGTTCTGGAGTGATGGAACATAATCAATAGTGAGAGTAAAAAACATTATTTCTTCTTCTTTTTCCCCTCACAGCAGGTGTTTCGTTTACCTGTTTCTACTTGACCAATCCTGAAGCTTATTTCCATCGCTCTTAAAAGATTTTAAAACCGTGTTGCCCAGCTTTGTTGTTTGGGGGGGGTTAGGAGACGGGCAGGTGTTGGGGTGGTGGGAGTTGTATATTTATTAAAACAACCATAATCAACATTGTTTATATTATCTGATCTAGGCTATATGGTTAGGCTGCATGGAGGCTCCATCAGTTTGTCAGCTAACTTCTGCGCAAAATGTCGGCTCATTTGTCACGTGTTCTCTGACGTAGATGAAGCATAAAAACACCTCCAAATAATTTAAAGGAATTGTTTGACAATTTTGGGAAATATTGGCCGTCTCACCGAGAGTTAAACGAGAAGATCGAGCTATGGCAGCTAACATGGCTTTCAGAATATAACAAATTCTGTTTAATATTTTGCTTGTTTCATCTATATGAAAACTGAAGTGTAAAAACAACAATTTGTGGTCTTACCGTGGGTTTACGTGTGGCGGAGCTAATAAGCTGTGGCTGTATATTGAACAGATATGAGCGTGGCATCAATCTTCTCATCTAACTCTCAGCAAGGAAGTAAATACACATTCCCAAGCTATTCTTTAAATCACAGTGATATCAGACAATTTACTGTATCTCTTTGTGTGGGTCTTGAATTAAATGTTTGACTTAATGTCATTTGGTCTAGTTTACTCCAGTTGGTTTCAGCCAGAAGTGCTGTATTGGATATCAGTAAGCAGCTCCTCTGCTCAGTTGAATCAGATCTGTTTTAATAACAGTAAACCAGGATCAAGGGAGCTAATTCCAGACGTCCTCCTAGTTTTCAAGTTGGATTTGATCTTGGTATCACAACCTAGGTATGAAAGTACGGATTTTTGCGAAGTTGCCTTTGTCAGTCACACTGTTTTGCTGTATTTGAACTGGATTAGCTGTAGAATGGGATACCACTCCTGTAATTTAAATGAGGCAAGGTCATTCATCCTTCATTCATTTAGTATAGAAAATAGAAAATCAAGAGTAAATTACTGTTTTTGCAGAGGTCATTTGATGACAGCAATTCCGATTGATTGACATCTCTGTAATGCAGTTCGTATTATTATTGTAGAGGCCATGTTATCGTCCAACCAGTGGGCATATATATAGTAAATATATAGAGCAAAACTGCAAAGGACACTCCTTTTTAATCAAGTTACAATCATAAAATTGATTTTAATTTTCCAGAATGACCGCCCCAGACCAACTAATCCAATTCAAACCCATTCTTTCTCGTCTGTAATTGTATTGTCAGTTTTATTTTTCACTATATTTACACAGAGGGCACGAAGCACGTAATCTAACTGTATTTAGATACATACTTCAGTCGAATGAAAAGCTTTGTAACATGAGTCCTTTATACCTGAGGGTTATCTGTCGCCCATTGTATTGCATTGGAATGTATTTTTGTCTCTTCCTTGTCACTGTGTAAGACACTGTCCTTTAGCTCTGCTGTTGTGACCTGGGAGTGCTTAAGATAGTTTTATGTATGTGCACTAAAGCATTTTTGTGTGTAATATTGTTTTTTCTTGAAATGTATCAACGCCATTGGCAGCGCTTGATTTGTTTTGTCCGTCTGATATTTATCCTGAAGGAGATTTCATTCGTCTAAAGCGATGATCATTTTTACACTATTATTGTACATCCTTTTTTTGTTTTTTTTATATTATATATATCTATATATATATATATATATATATATATATATATATATATCAGTGTTACAGTAGGAGCTGCATACTGTATGTGCAGGCCCACTCAGTGTTGCTATCTCTGGTCTAGGCATCATCAGTGCAGCACCTGATGTGGGGGGGAAAAGTTCTGCTGAGCATCAGCAAAATTGACGGAAAGGAAAGACAGCCAGGCAGTGTGGCGGCAGCACAAGGGGAAAGCAGAGTGGTCCGTCAGAAAACCACCCTCAAAACAATCTGTACTAGAATTCCTTCTGTCAGCAAATCCTCTGGAGAGAGAGTCCCTTTAGACAGAAAAACCTACTAATGCACTTCAGAGCACACATCAACAGCACAGGCGTTCTCTCTCCACAGCCGACGAACAAACGACTTGAAACACACCGGTCAATGCTACGCTTGTTTGTTACGTGTTTTGTGGTCCTTCTTTTGTGTCTCGACCTTTTTCTACATGGTGTTTAAATCTAGCTTTTTTTGTTCTTTTTTATTTGTTCTTTTTTTGGAAACCTTTTCTTTAAACGGACGCTAAAGTTCTTCTTTAAAGCATTTCTACCTCATGGCTACAAAACACACGTGGTATTTGATTTACGTCTTTCCAAATGTCAGACATTTGTGAAAAATGCATTGAAAAAGAAAAAAAAAGAAAAAAGAAAAAAGAAGTGGAGAGAATAACACCATGAAGTTTTGCGCAGTCTACCTCAGATGACTGTACTTAAAACATTTAGCTGATGGTGCAACCGCAGGCTGCAGCATAGCCTAGTCTGTGTGTGTGTGTGTGTCTGTCACTGTGTGTCAGATCCGAGCTATAGGCTAAACACACACACACCTGATAACATTGACGTCAAAAACACACTCACAAGCGATTTGTGAGGAAGGAACACTTGGGGTCGACCTAAAGGTGACCTGGAAATGTATAATCCAATACATTTGCTTTAATCTTTTGTGAACTACTGTGGTTGTGCGCGTGTGAATGTGTATATACGTTGGCACACTCTTCTTTTTTTTATTTAGTGTGTTGAATTTTATAAATTGTTAGTATATATAACACACTTGCACAACTTTAAACCAGAGTGTAACGTGTTTCTGTTGTACATACCTATACATACAATACAAATGCACCACTTGTTTATATGTGTGAATATGTTGCCATACTTGCAGTCAACTTAAATGTATTTTCATGTAATCTTAGGTACAAGCAGCAACAAACGATTCATTAAAGACATTTTCTTGGGAGATTATACCTTGTACATCTCGTTTTTTTCTACACTGCCGGTCACTTTAAGGCTCTGAGGGATGAATAGAAAAAGATTAATACAATTTATTTATCAGTAGAATGGAAAAAATATATGTATTGTCCTGCCAAAAAATAGTCCAGCTGAAAAATCGCCTTAATGAGCCTTGAGTTAGTCACCCTTGTGTGCAATTATAAAATCATCCGCGTTGCGCAGGAAGCCAGCGCTGTCGCTTCTCTCATTAAAATGTAACAATTCATTTCTCTTGCTGTGGTAAGAGTGGCAAGACCAAAACATTAAAGCATTAATTATCTTTCATCGCAGAGAATTTGGGGTACGTGAGTAGTCTTAATGAAAATGATGTGCATTTGCCCACTACATTTCCAAGGTATCATTATATAGCTGCTGGTGAGGTGTGGGAAGCTGCTGTATAGCCTCTATAATTATCTGTGAAAACTCAAACGCTTCACAAGAGGTTAGAGTGCACCGAGGGCTGCTGTTTTCTTTATTTTTCCACTTTGAAACATGTTATAGCCATGATCAGAAATTTATGACACAAGCTTTTTTTTGCTTTTTCTTGTCCATCAGATATAAAGCTGGTAAATGTAGTGTTTTTCTTACCGATTTTGAGCCTAGCAGCAAGAAGCGACTGGATTATTTTGCTCACCTTGTTTTGCTCAAAGCTTCATAAATAGTGTAGCAGCAAGCTGCTCTGTAAATAACCTGTATTCACAAAGCTGCAGTTGGTCTCGGCTCGACTCAGCAGGAGGAGTCATACAGGAAATATTATCGAATAACTGACCTGCAAGTTTTTATCCAAATCAGATTGCAGCAGCCAGACTATCATGGAAAGTCTTTTTAAGTTTTATTTGTATCTTAAAGGTTTTCATGCTTCCTAACGGTACAAAGAACTGAGAGCGTGCGATGAGGTCTGCATGAGCCACGTGTGTGTGCACCCCGAGGTTATCTGCCACAACGCCACTGTGTCCTCTTCACTTTAAAGGGTCCTCATTCCATAAGCTTTGCCTCACACCTCTGCTCACTCTTTGCACGACAATTAAAATATGCTAAGTGATCATTTTCCTTAAGTAGTCTTAAATGTGCAATCCATTCAAATATGAGAGGAAATTGCCCACAGCTCGCAAAAAAAACCAGAGGTGGTTGAACAGGGGGGTAAAGAAGGAATAAATTATGCAAATAACACAAAGGACTTTACCACTTGAAAGCCTAATTTTCCTATAATCAGCACACTGTCGCCTAATATTTTTTTCCCCACCTCTTATTAAAAGTGACTGTTCTTTTGCCGATCATCAGATGGCTCTATCTGTCACTGCTCTGTGAAATGACTGCAGCCTGCCAGACTAAATGCTAAAGCATTTTGCTGGAGCTTTTAGATGATGGTTACATTCCCACACAAGTAATTATGCGTCAGAGAGTCCAGAAATAAGGTTTAATTATACAGTAATCGTCTGTGATGGACACTAGGAAGTGGTGAGTACCGCCAGACTGCAATCCATCAATGACAAACCTCTGGCCAGTTTTAATTCCTCCTCATTTGCATCCTAACCTCCACACCAAGTTGCGCAAACGCTGTTAAATGTTAATAGGACCTGTCTCGCCACTCAAAATGAATGCTTAAGCCATTTTTTAGTCACTTTTCTCTCTACCCCCTCCTCCCTCGATACCGCCGCTCACTCTCGTTTCATCTCTTGTCCTCTCTTTATCTAGCTACGGCTATAACCCACTCCCTTTCTTTTATTCCTCTCCAAAGCCATCGTCTTCATGCCATTCTCTCCTTTCCTGTCATCCTTCCTCCAATCTTTCACTCCCCCTCCTCCCCTCCCTCCCTCCCCTCCCTCCCTCCCACCCTCCTCGCAGGCCTCGCCGTGGAGGAGGCACAGAGCGGTCACTGATGCACTAATTGGGAGCAACACTTACAGTTTTATCTCCCCCCACCACTAATAGCGGTCTGCACTGAAGCAACTCACCTTAGGATGAGGAATGGATGGATGAGTTGGAGGTAGGAGTGTGTGTGTGTGTGTGTGTGTGTGTGTGTGTGTGGTGTGTGTGTGTGTGTTGTGTATGTGTGGGAAGGGGGGGATGAGGCCTTGAATGAGAAATTCCTCCATGCAGACCG